CCCCACCACTTCTCCCCGGGAAACGAGTCAGGCCGTGTTTTAGAAAAGGCTGTCCTGTCCGTATTGTATCCCGTTTCTCTTCAATCACGTGTGTGTGGGGTAAGAGAGAGAGCACAGACGATGGCAAATGGGCACAGTTATGCCGCTCCCCACTGGCAACTTCGGGAGCACAAGCAAAGTTTAACGTCTTCCTAAACCGCATTTTGTACTGCTCTCAGGGCACATTTTACAAACGAAGGGAATAAAGCCCCCGGCGCCCTCTGTGAAAGGCACGCCGCACCTGCCGCACCTGTGAGAAAAGGGCCGCCACACGCGTCCTGCCCTGAAGAAGTGTGGCCACTGCTATTTCTAACGGAGCGAACGTGTCATGTTCTTTAGTGTCCTTACCAATTTTGTTTCCTCTTTGCCACTTGAAGGTCACCTTTCTCAGGCCAACATGCATGACGTTATCGTACGATTTGGGGGTATCACACACTTGACCAATGATGTTCTTCCTCCTCATCTCTCGGTACCTCTTTTCTTCAAACAGCCGGACGGACTTCTGGATGGCTTCCATGGGCCCTTGTTTAGAAGCGGTGTCTGCAGGGAGAGCCGCCCACTCAGTCACAGTCACTATCATCAAGTCCACTTCCAGCAAATCACCAGAAAATCAGAGCCATGTGCACTGGCACTGCTCACAGCACAGCTGCGCAGGGACGCATGGCCCAGCTCGGTCTAACAGCCCCGAGCACCACCCCCCCCACCACCCCCACGCACACGACACACAGCCCGTCCAGACAAGCCACCTCCCGAGGCTGGTGGTCAGGCTACTGCCGTGACCATCTCCTGCCTCAGTCTCTCTTCTCTCCAATCCACTCTTGTTGGCCACTATGATCTTACCAAAAAATAAAATCCGATCATGTGACCTTCCTACGTAAACTTACTTCCCGGGTCATCACATCTGTTGATCACAAGTGCAAAGCCCTCCGATGGACTCCAGTCTGCACAATGTGGACCCGGCCTCTGCCCCAGCTCACTGGGTTGGGCCACTCCCCTTTCTCCGGCCACAGCCTCCGAGTCACACTACTGACCCTCAGGGAGCACCAGCTGCTTCTCGCTCAGGCCTCTGCTCACGCTGTCCTGTTTGTCCGCCACCCAAGGCCTGGGGAGCCCGCAGCGCCGCTCAGCAGTGCCGCACCTCCTCGGAAGCCCCCTCGGATGAGGGGGTTCGTTCTCTCCTTTGGGAGGGGCAGACGCCAGAATAGGGCCCCGCCTCCCGTGTGCTCGGGGTCTGACAGAGGGCAACTCACTGGACTCTACACGTCAAATTCCTGACCCGTGAACTGAAGGGATCGATACTAATGTAATCACGCGTGGAAAGCACTGGCCCACTGACAGAAATTCAGGAAAACGCAGTAAATTCTGGCTCCTGTGATTCTCCATTTCCCCATCAGGCTCCACACCTCTATTTCTGCAACTTATTTTATCACAACTTACAGCGAGACGTCTCTTTCACACACGTGGAATCTAAAACAGCAGCTTCATCAACGTCACCACTGTTACTCCAGGCTATTTTTCTCTGACTTCACCTCCCACTGGTGGGTGACACCCACAGCGTGGAAAGCACTGCTTCTGCTCATCTCCTGGCAGCACTTCTCGTGCTGCTGCTCACTAGCCAGGAGCCTGGTGGTGGCAGGAAGACAGGTCCCTGAGGACTGGGACGAGGGGGTCCATTGGAGGTGGGAAATCCCCGAGTATTTGTAATGTTCAATTACAGTGTCTCAACACCATCATTCCCTAAAATCACAGGTCCTGGCCCTTTATCTCCCGGCAATGAACGAGCTTTCCCAGCTGCGGCAGGGACTCTGCTGTCAGGCAGTTCTGGGAAAGGCTTTTTTTTAGAGTAAAGCATTTCTCAAGATTCTCAGTCGTGAATATGTCAACGTGAACGGAAACTCTCTCAAGAGTTTCCAAGTTCATTTGACCTCCAAGTATTTGTTTGAAAATCATCATGAAGACCTGGTATCCGTGGGAACTACTGCAGCCACTGTACATGAGCCACTGCAGAGACCTCCGCCCGCCGCCCGCCACGCCTCCCCCACGCCTCCCCCACGCCCTCTACACGCACCCGACCTGCCCAGGCCTGTCGCTGCTGCATCACAGTTGCTTGTTTCCATTCCTGTTTAAAATCCCACCTTAGGCTTATTTACGTCTTACACTGCGTCACTGCAAATACTCTCACCAGTCTCCCTCTCCCCCCAGTTCAGATGAACCGCCCTCCGCGTCTTCCTTCTCCTACCTTCCCACTCCCCTTCACACAAGCGGGTCCAGAGGCTTCCACCCCCGCTGTGTCAGGCCGAGCCCACAATGACCGGACCTCCTCTCGCCTTCAATTTCACCTCCACTGACAGCTACGCCCGAGCCCCCTTGGGTGGCCTCCATGTGTGTTTCTCCTTTGTACTTCTCTGGCTTGGTGCGGACTGGCCAGCCCTGCAAGGGCAGCTCAGGCCTCCAGGAACCCTCCTGGCTGCTCTGGCCGTGGGTGGTGGAACTCTGGTCGCTTATGGGAAGCGAGCAGGTGCATTCTGCCTGTTGCTCACACTGCTGTGACAACGACTCGTGAAAGCTCTCTGTGGGCCATCAAGTGACAGAGCAGTGATGTTTCTGCTACTTATTCTTTTGGTGAATTCGGACTGATTACCACTTGGTAAGATAAAAGTTTCCCTCAACTTCTTAGCCTAAAAAGTGAACAGTTATTCATTTTATAAATACTATATTCTCACGACGTACAAAGAATTATGCTAAGGGCCCACCCAAGGACAGATAAAATTAACAGTCCCAGTGCTTACAGACACAAAATGATAAAACGTGTTCCTATCCAAAGGAGCTTGTAAGTTACTGTAATAAACAGAAAATGGCCCTCGCAGGTTTGGCTCCGTGGACAGAGCGTCAGCCTGCCAACTGAAGGGTCCCGGGTTCTATTCCAGTCAAGGGCACATGCCCGGGTTGATCCCCAGTAAGGGGCATTCGGGAGGCAGCCAGTCGATGATTCTTCTCATCACTGATGTTTCTCTCTCCCTCTCCCTCCCTCTCTAAAGTTAATAAAACACACACACACACACACACACACACACACACACACACACACACACACACACTCTAGAGGCCCGGCGCACGACATTCGTGCACTGGGGGGGCGAAGGAGGAGAGTGTCCCTCAGCCCGGCCTGCGCCCTCTCGCAGTCTGGGACCCCTAGGGAAGCAGGTCTAAGCCGGCAGGTGGACATCCCCCTAGGGGTCCTTAGCGCTGATGCAGAGGTGGGAGAGGCTCCCGCCAGGGCGGCTGCACTCACCAGCCATGAGCCTGGCTTCTGGCTGAGCGGTGCTCCCCCTGTGGGAGCGCACTGACCACCAGGGGGCACCTCCTGCATTTTGCATCTGCCTTCTGGTGGTCAGTGCACGTCATAGCAACCGGTCGTTCTGCTGTTGGGTCGATTTGCATATTAGGGTTTTATTATATAGGATAAAAAAAAAAGAAACCGGAAATGGTGGAGTCAGCTGTAGACAGAGACCCCAAATACTAACACACAGGCCCAACGACCCGGAAGCTAAAGCCCTGCCTCGGAAACCACTCCCTGTGCAGAAACATTTTAAGTCCGACATTCTTTCTCTTACCTTTCGTCTGGCTGATCAGCGTCCGAAGTTCCCAACTTCTTCGGGTCGACCCACTCGAATCACCTTTTGGATATGCTGGTTCTGCAGAAAGCATTTTTCATACAAATGAAGACTCAGAACAAATCCGCTTACTAACTGACAGCAAGGCTGAGCGGTGAGTGCGGTGAGTCACCACCAGCCTGTCCTCTCTGCTGATTAACTAGTTTGGTGTGAGTGTGAGAAGCTGTCTCTACAATCAATTCTAGAAAATCGCACCAAACTAAGAAGTTGTTAATGGGTTACAACTTCAGCTCCATAAACCTTCCACAAGTAACAGCAGCATAACACTGAGCAGACACGGATGACCCGGGACCACAGTGGGCGGTCCTGCTCAGGAGCCCAGCAGCGGCCGGCGTGAGCCACCACGGGCCCGGGCAGACGCCTCGGTCTGCGTTATAATAAAACTCCAGCATGTCCCCAACAGCACAGTGTCACTTCTGCACTTGTAAAGAGAATACGAACGCTTGGCAACTAAAACATCAGAAATAATGACTTTTTAAAAAGCAACAAAAGGAGACCTAGAAAATGCAAACACACCTAAATTAAAAAAGCACCCAAATTAAAAAGCTGAGTGCTTGAGCCCGGCCGGCCTGGCTCAGTGGTTGAGCGTCAACCTTTGAACCAGGAGGTCATAGTTCAATTCCCAGTCAGGGCACATGCCCGGGTTGGGGGCTCGATACCCAGCAGGGGGCGTGCAGGAGGCAGCCACCAACCAATGGTTCTCTCTCATCATTGATGTTTCTATCTCTCTCTCCCTCTCCCTTCCTCTCTGAAATCAGTAAAAACATTTTAAAAAAAAAGCCAAGTGCTCAGCACCGAGTCCTCTCATAAAGCCTGGCTTCTCCCTCCTCCCTCGGAAAAGGCATGGACACAGAAATTGGTGGACGGAGACCAAGGGTGAGGCTCCGCGAATGCAGGGGACACCTCCACACTCACCATCTCGCTCCTCGGTGGGGCTGGAGTGGCGACTCAGGGACCTGAACTGCAGCTCAGCTGCGACGGAAGCCAGCCGGTCGTTTTCAGGGACACTGGAACCCCTGTTGTGGTCGTTTTAAAAATGGAGCCATCAATTCAATGGAACTCAAAATGACAGCTCTGCGACTCTCCCAGGGCAAGTGGTTCTCAGCTGAGGGTGCCTGGGGTCCCGGGGGACATCCAGCCGCCAGTGGGGAGAGGACAGCACAGAGGATGCCCCAGATAGAGCCCTGGTGGCCCCAAAGGAGCGGCGCTGCCCTGGGGACCCTCCCCTGGAGGGCAGGAGGGAGCTGTACTTCCCTCCCCCACAGCCAGCACAACCTCACAACCTGACTGCGTAATACATGGTTTTATGTTAAAAACAGCAAAACAGTATTTACTGAAGTGTTGACATGTATGGAAAGCTCATAACTTAAGCCCAGGGTGATAAAATTATTAGCCTAATCTGGTTAACATTTAAAATGATCATCCAATTATATTTATGCACTTAACCCTTTCAGTGCTAAAGTCACTGCATGACTGGGAAGCAGCAAGGAAACCTGAGGTTTCTCAAGCAGGAGCCAAGCGAAAGTGCAGAAGAGCAGGAAGCTGAACAACAAAGAACCAAGTTAATTTGCTGCTTTTCCGGAAGAAAGTTAAGTCAATTGTCCAGCATCCAGAATGAATCCATCAAGAGTAAGACCCAAAGTGAAGGCAGGGAGGTGTGAACATTCTAATACAAACCATCCACAATAAAACGGCGTCAGCTTATGAACAAGTGTCGTGTGTGTTCAGTGGGTGCTCTCAGGAAGTATGGCAGAATTTATGCTCTTTCTCAGACGCTGACCCGGTTCAGCCCACGTGGTCTACAGAACAGACGAGCTCTGGGCCCGAGTGCTTCTGATGCCCCTGAGCTCTGCAACCCAGGCAGCACTCGCTGAGCCTGCAGACCAGACGCCCCTACTGCCACAGGGCCTCTCCGAGTCGTGGCCCCACTCCGTGGAAAAGCACGGTGCTCCCGGCCCTGCTCACGACAGGCACCGTGGGAAGTCACTCAGCACCTCTATGCTCCTGATTTCCCAGAGACAAAATGAGTCAATTCCACGTCCTCCAAGTTTTGCCAGGATAAAAGGCAAGGAAATATACTTAAATGAAGGGGTATGCCGGGGAACTTTTTAATACCTAGTTTAGGGGGTGGCAGGGAGGGGTGTAGTGTTTGACAATTTCCGTGGTGTAACAACTGGCTTGCGATATTCCTAAAAAATTAACAATTCAGCTCTTGCAAACCAGTAAGAGCCAGTTCCAGCAAGCAGCACTCTGTAAAACATTTTATACGCAAGATGACTATTTCCTAAGTAAAACCAAACCACATGGAAACACTGACGGACCCTGTGGGGCACAGTACCACTGCGCTGGGCTGCACCTCAGGCGGGCAGGGCTGCACTCGGAGGGGCTGGCCCTGCCAACGGGGAGGCGCGGGCATTGTCCTGCCGCCTCACAGCAGTCGCAAACCAGGGCTGCAGGGAGACTGCGGCCGCGGGCATGTGCGGTGGGTCTCCCAAGGCCCACCCACAGGTTCCCGGCAGAGGGCGGAGCCACACGTTAAACTGCACGTGTCAGGCTGGAGTGCAGAGGGAACACACCCCAGGCCACACGTCTCCATTTGGCTTTGCTGTTCTATCTCCTGTCACGTACACACGACTGTAAAAATTGAAATGTCATTCCTTTGTGAAAAACGGCCTGCAAGGTGGCATACAAATTTCTAACTATCAAGGATCATTCTGAGGGTGGACATAATTACAAAATGCTACTCGTAAGATGCTAAAAATCTACTAGCCAAGGCCTAACACTAAAGGCATAAAAGGCATTTAGCTTTGATACTAAAATACATTTAATGCACACATTACCACCTTTATAAATGCCTCAAGCCACCGTTCATGAGCCTCTGAAAAGGGGGAACTTTACGCGCCCCCCCCCCGCCCCCCGCCCCGGGTCCTGGAGAAATCGTGCGGACTCGGAGCAGCAGTGGGGCCAGGCTCCAGTCCTGGCGGCGTGTCCTCCGCGTCTGTGACTGCGTTCAGGGCACGTCACCCCGCAACTCTGTACGCACGTAGAGACAAGACAGTCTCGTGCCCCACAGGGACATGGAAGCACAAGGAAACACTAGCCAGGAAAAGCTCTAAACGTAAAAATAAAGAGGGGAAATGGGAACTTGTTCAAAGTCAACTTAACTCTTTTAGTTAACTGCTTAAGCTGTAAGATACACTGGCATTTTTTAGGTTATAGACATTTATTGCTAAAATTAGGAATATTAATGATTCAATGAGAACATGGACATGTTTATGGGAATTTAGACTGTTACAGAGTCTAAGCACAGTCTAGTCTGTGTGAACTGCGAGCTCGGTCATCTTCCCGCCAACACAGCGCACTGAGGTCCTGCTCATCGATCGCCCAGCAGACTGTCGGGTCTGACTCCATCCCCGTCCTGACTGGAAGGTGAGGACAGGGACCCTTCTCCCAGACTCCGGGTAGAGGACTTGGTGTTATTTTCTGGAGCTTGCCAAACACCTGCGGGCTCTCTCTGGCAAAGACCTATTCTCCATGAGGTACACACCCCACAAACTCACTTTCTACTTTGCAAACTAACCAAGCATCACAGAAATTAAGTAACTTGGTTAGAAAAGTGACCCTCTTAAAAACACGAGTCACCACCTGAAGGACTAATAGAAGCCATCCCTGCAGCAAGGCCCTGCTCCCAAACTCCTCCCGCCCCTCCTGGGGGGACCAGGCTCTTTCCTCTGATACTCTCCCTAGAGTTACTATTGGCAGAAGCTCCGGTCTTTCTGGTTAATATCAGCTCCAAAGAAATACTGAAATCAGGCAGGTTATCTACTTGTGCTGGCGGGTCCTGGAGCCACGGGGCCGGAGCATCACACGCACCACGGGGAGGGACCCCGAGTCCGTGTCCTGGGACACCCAGGGCCAAGGCCACCGCGGAACAGCACAGGAGGGGCAGGGGCAGGGCACTGGCAGAGGGAGGCTACCTGGCGTCATGGGCACTGCTGTTGGGTCTGGGTGGCGCGGAGTCGCCGCCTG